ATACTCTCGTTGTCACAAAATCTCTCAAGTAGTTAATATGGTTGGCTTTATTAATTATATTTTTTTAATTTTTTCATGGTATTAATAAAATACTTGGTAAATAAATATATAGCATTATTTTGTATTATAACTTTGATATTTAATTAGAAAAATAGTGCACAGAAAAGATAATAGATAATGTAGTGAAAATAATCAATTGATGAATTTGAATGTAAAAATTTTTACATTTGAGAAAAATAAAGACAATATAACTAATAAAAATATTTCTCTTAATTAATTTATTGATAATTAATAAATTTTTTTCATTGAATAAAGACATTGTAAGGATAATGTAGGCGAATATAATCAATTAATAAATTTGAATATAAAGAATTTTTATATTGAAGAAAAATAAGGACAATATAACTAATAAAATTATTTCTCTTATTTAATTGATTGATAATGAATATTTTTTTTAATAAAGGCATTGTGGACACATAATTCTAAATTAAGGGTCTGTTTGGAAACCCGGAAAATGACTTCTGGAAAATGACTTCTGGAAAATGACTCATTTTCTAGAAGTCATTTTCTTTTCCTATGTTTGGCTGCACAATGGAAAACTGTCTTTTGGTGTTTGGTTCATTTTTCAGAAAATAATGAAAAATTGTCTTTTGGTGTTTGATTCATTTTCCAGAAAATGAACAGAATGGCATACTAAAACATTTTAATTATTATATACTGAATATTACAATTTGAAATCACAATTACATGTTAGAAACAACATAAATGCATAAATAATCAAGTCTTGAAAATTACTGTTCACAAATTAAGCAAAAGCATTTTATTATATAATCAGTACAAAAAAAAATAACAGTAACATGATTTAACATAAAAAAAATCAAAAAAAAAAAATTGGGAACTGGTTTTCCGCATCGGAAACCGATGCGGAAAACCATTCACTGGTTTCCGATCGGAAACCAGTGAGGTCACTGGTTTCCTGGTTTCCGATTGGAAACCAGTGAAGAAGGTTGAAAAAAAAAAATTAAAAAGGGGAAGTTATTTTTTGGGAGAAGAAGGTTTGAGCGTGTGTTAATTGGAAGATGGAAAATGACTTCCGCCAAAAAAAAGGGGAAGTCATTTTCCAGATTTTAGACCTCATTTTCCATTGACTAACTAACATTTTCCTTTGACCATTTTATTTTCAGTCTTCCCAAACACCAAAAACCCGGAAAATGATTTCCAGAAGTCATTTTCCGGGTTTCCAAACATACCCTAAAGAAATGCATATGTATTATTTTTTGTTGTAACTACTAAATTATTATTTATATAATTTAATAAGAGTAAAATAGAGTACTAATTATGCCAACTTTGATTGGGATGAGGTTCGAACCTAAGACATTTTTTTATTGAAATCAATGAGTAAGTTAACGGTGAACTAACGACAATTCTTAAAATTTTAACGGAATTAGTAACGGTGTGTGGGTATTTTAGGAAATTTTAGTGTAAAATTTAAATCTGATCAATCTTTTAATTAATCTGAGCCATTCATTTGATTAAAATCTGTGACCGCCATTTTTTCTACCCATTATAGGCCTAACTCTCTTGGGCTCTTATTAGTATACTAGTTTTTTTACGCGCTTTGCGCGAATGGGATAATGCCCAATAATTATTTTTAAATAAGTATTTCAAAGCATATCAATGCAATATTATATAGGAGATGTTCATGCATAGGTAAATAAATGTTGAATTTGTTTATTTAAATCAGTAATTTAAAGTATATAAATGCAAGATAATATATGAGAGATTGATTATAATTGTCACTAAAATAAAAGTTTGCAACTTTGTAATAACGCTAGTCTAAATACTTAGTCTTAAAGTGATAATCTAAATAAATACTACTTTTGGTTTAAATTTCTCTAATTCTTCTTAATTCTCTTTTGGGTAGCATTGTTATTGTTTTCATCTTTAGTACATGTCCTCTCTCTTTTTTTTTTTTTATTTTTTTTTATTGGTAGTGTGTCATGTGCAATTAGGTTACTGGTAGCAGCATAGAGGGATTCATCATGCAATGAGATTATGGTGTATGAAGTTTTAGATTTGTCTTGCTGTGTATATGACTAAGATTTTAGTTGTAATATGAACTCTTTAGCGTACAAACACCTATTGATATTTAGTAGTGGTAGTTTTTTCCCTTCATGTTTCATGTGTTGTGAGATGTGTATCGTAAGTTATCATGTGAAAGTATTGAACAAAATATTAATATTTATTATATTTGTATAAAATACTTGGTAAATAAATAAATAAATAAATAAATATATATAGGGTTGCATTCAAATACAAACCGCCTTAAAATACAAACTCCCCTTAAAATAAAAACTTGAGCTCGTGAACACATTAACATACTTACATGCACACAGGGCACACTTCCAACAATTTCTGAGATGAGCTCATGCATACATTAACATACTTACATGCACATAGCGCGTAGGATGAAAAACCACAATTATTCATCAAAGCTCGTGCACACATTAACATACTTGCATGCACACAGCGCGTAGGAGGAAAAATCACAACCATCCATCAAAGCCCGTGCACACATTAACATACTTACATGCACACTGGGCGCACAGCCAAAAATATTTGGAATTAGCTCGTGCACACATTATCACACTTACATGCACACAGTTTGTATTTTAAGGGAGGTTTGTATTTTAAGGGGTGTTTGTATTTGAAAATAATCCTCTATATATATATATATATATATATATATATATATATATAAAAATCATATTTTGTATTATAACTTTGATATTTAATTACAAGATAATGTAAAAAAGAAGACAATGAACAATGTAGTGAATATAATAAATTAATAAATTTGAAGGTAATGAATCTTTGAATTGTAGAAAATAAAGATAATATAACTAATAAAATTATATTTCTTTTAAGTTTTTTTGTAATGATTTTTTTTTTAATAAAGCATTATAGACATCTAATTCTAAATTAATTAAATGCATATGTATTATTTTTTGTTGTAGCTACTAATTTATTTAATTAATAAGAGTAATAAACTGTAGTACATACTTTTCTTCAACAATTATGAAATCAATGATTTTTTTAATTTCCATTCCTTGTTGAGACAAATTATTTTGAGAGTTTGTCCATGACAATTGCTACAATTGCTGTCAATAGAGGATGATAATAAATAATTCAAAATATATGGTAACAATAGATAGTAATATAATGATATAGTAAAAATTAACTTACAAATTTCTTTAGAAGTTTTCATGCATAACATATTTTTTAACACATTTTAACATATTCATAATATATGTTTAACAATTATGCCAACTATACTTGGGATAAGGTTCGAGCCTAAGACCTTATATAAATTAATAGTATGTTAAGAATAATAAATAATTAACGGAATATTCCGTTACTAAAGTTTAAACTAACGGAATTTAGGGTTATTTAAGGGAAGAAAATAATATAATAGAGGGTAAATAAGGAAAATCATTAAAAGATACTAAAATCAAAATAATATGAACCATTCATTTTAAGAAACAATTAGTACCGACACTTTTTTTGTTCCAGTTAAGGGCCTAACATTATTCGCTCTTATTAGATTTGTAGATTGTAGATTTGTAGATATATATAATATAACTAATGAAAATATTTCTTTTAATTAATTTATTGATAATTAATAAAATTTTTTTCACTGAATAAAGACATTGTAAGGATAATGTAGGCGAATATAATCAATTAATAAATTTGAATATAAAGAATTTTTATATTGAAGAAAAATAAGGACAATATAACTAATAAAATTATTTCTCTTATTTAATTGATTGATAATGAATATTTTTTTTTTGAATAAAGGCATTGTGGACACATAATTCTAAATTAAAGAAATGCATATGTATTATTTTTTGTTGTAACTACTAAATTATTATTTATATAATATATAATTTAATAAGAGTAAAATAGAGTACTAATTATGCCAACTTTGATTGGGATGAAGTTCAAACCTAAGACATTTTTTTTATTGAAATCAATGAGTAAGTTAACGGTGAACTAACGGCAATTCTTAAAATTTTAACGGAATTAGTAACGGTGTGTGGGTATTTTAGAAAATTTTAGTGTAAAATTTAAATCTGATCAATCTTTTAATTAATATGAGCCATTCATTTGATTAAAATCTGTGACCGCCATTTTTTCTACCCATTATAGGCCTAACTCTCTTGGGCTCTTATTAGTATAGTAGATAGTAGATAATAAGTGTGAATGAAAGTTATATCCCTAATTTATGTCCCTTTTTTCCATTAAGTTTTTTTGTACATTATGCTATAAAGGTTGTACATTAAAATATTTTGGACAAACATACCCCTACCGTTATAACTTCCGTTATCTTTTCCACTATTGTTACCATGCACATGCATCCACCATATATTTTCTTATCTTCTTCATTAATAATAATATATACACATTAAATATTTGAGTTATATGTTAATTATTACATAAATATAAACATCAAATTTTGTAAAAATGATTTACATTATTATTATTTAGAATAATTTAAATATCTAAAATCTAAATAAATTTAAAATTTTAATATAATGTATTAATATTGGGCACCTATTTTTTGCGCATCGCACATAAAAAATACGGAGTACTAGTTATTATTATAAGCATCTTGTTAAATTTTGAATTATGAAAAAAAGACTTACAATTTACACCTTTTAATTTATATGAGGGCATTTAAGTAATTGATGTAGTATACATTAAAATATATCCTTCAACCAAACAAGTTAATGTTACATTCCTATAACTTTAATCAAACACATCATGTAATCTTACATTCTCAAAATCTCATAATCTTATTACCTGGGTAATATGAGATTCGGTGAACCAAACGATCCGGGAGTATCTTACAAGATAGATCATGGTTTATGATGAAACAATTCTTGAAAGTGAGGATGACCAATTGCGCGGTGAAATGACGTGGCTTGGATTCACTTAATAGTGTTTTTGGTGCCATTTTTTGCCCCTCTGCAGTGTGTCTGTAAGCTGGTTTGCGACTCTGCGGCGCACCCCCAAAAACCATGGCGGAAACCCCGACTGAAACCCTAGATTCCTCTCCCCAAGCACCTCAAATCTCCGAAGATGCTACCGAGGATAACGAAGACCAACTCATGACCGATGCCCCTAACTCGAACAAGGTGCCCCGGTCCGACTCCGACACAGAGTCTGACTCTGATGACGACGCTAAACAGAATCTCGAAATTCAAGCTCTCGAAACTGAGCTCTCCAGCAACCCCTCTAATTACGATGCTCATGTCCAAGTATTCCTACTATCTCTCTACATAATTTTATGCATATATGTGCGACAACTAATTGGATATTCGTGTTCATAAGGAGATACACTTCAATCTACTACTAACAATCTTAGTTGTGGAAATGGACATGCATTTACCAAAATATGATAAATTAGTAATTTATTTTCACTGGTGAATGTTATTCTATATGCCATAAGGGCTTGTTGTGGTCTGTGCAGTATATTAAATCCCTGAGGAAGCAGGGAGACATAGAGAAGCTAAGAATAGCTAGGGAAGCTATGAGTGCCATATTTCCACTGAGTTCCGAGATGTGGAAGGAGTGGATTAAAGATGAGATGTCTCTTAGCTCTGGGTATTGCTTCTTCATTGAACTAGGTGTATTTTTATTAAATAACTTGAATGATTTTATTTGCTACATTTCCTTGTCTTTTGATAATGTGCTAGCCATTCAATTCATAATGTGTGTGGGATCTTTTGGAAGTGTAAGGAAGTAGAATAATACAAGTACGGATGATGGCGGGATTCACTAGGCAGGGCCTGTTGCCTGTAGGAAAGTGAAAAAATGGAATCAGAAAGAGATCAGTCCTGCAATTTAAAGAAATCTTTCTATTATGTTTTTCTCTTATGGAGTAAAATTGTGTTCCTCTAGTTCTTTTTTAAAACCATCAATGTTGCAATCCATTTTTAAAAAATTTTATTTTGAGGTGGCTATAAAGATTTGATTGCAAAAGAGATTTTGAAAGCAACACAAGAAGCCTGATGGAGTTTACCCTTTCTTTAGTGAAGCTATTTGAACCAATCTTCTATTAAAATAGTTCAATCTTAGGGGTAATCATTGGTTAACAACTCATTAAACTGATATAGGCATCATTTTTAATAATCTGTTGTGAAGTTTCACCATGTTATTAGAGTGCCTGTTGGTGCAAATAAGTGAACTGGGGGTATTTTTGTCTTCTTCACTGTTATATTTTTTCTTTGATTGTTTTCATTTTTTTTTTGTTTTATTTAATTTATTTACTCAATATATCAAACGCATGGAGGAAAAAATGAATGAGTATACCATGATTTTATCTTTTTTTTTTTTGTTTTTGTTTTTTTTTTTTGTTTTTTTGTTTTTTTGTTTGGTTTTTATGTAGTGTACTCACTTTCTCTTTTCATTTTCTTTTACCTCCAGACCTGAGGCTTTCCCTGCTATTGAAAAGTTATATGAGCGTGGAGTGTCTGATTATCTGGTTAGTTGTACTATTTATGTCAATGTTGCCATTTTTTCTCACATAAGAATACATTGTTCAAGGGAGTACGTTGGATGAATTGTGGAAGAATGCAGAGATCTTCTCATGTGTTAAATTATGATCTAATTAGCAGGATTTATATGCTTAATATTTTATAAAGGGGAAATGACTTTTTTAGCCCCTCAATCTATAATGGTAAACTCAGTCCTTTAATTATAAGGGTTACCCCATTTAGTCCCTGAATTGTTCCCGTAGTGGCCATTTTAGCCCCACATCTCAGGTATACATTAAAATCTAATGTTGATGTAAGGGAAAATCTGGAAAATTCATTTGCTTATCCCAACACACAAGTCATATAAGTATATAATTCAATATGAAGTATGTTGTGAGTATTTGCGCTACACAAAAATGTCGAAGAAAATATTATTATAGTAATAAAAAGCTGGATTCTCCACTATTGGAAAAGTTCTTGCGGTAATTGCACGAGGCATTCTACTCTCATCAATCCAAATGGTGCGGTGGTGCCCATGGATTCACCTTAATCTACTCCCTTCTCCATTTCCTAGATTTTATTACCTTTAAGATTTTATCATAGAATTTTCTGACCAGTGCGGCTATGGCCTGCCCGACAACTCCCAACCTGAATCCAATCATCTAAATTCCAAAAAAACCATTCTTTCATCCTCCTTTTTTCTTGTATTGAACAACAATGGAAAAATGTCCTGGACCTCTAGCGTAGCAGACGCTAAGAATGTTTGTACCGCTTAGGGAAAATTCTAAATATTACGCATTTTTTTCTTGTGTGGATTCCATCCATTGGCTCCCTTTTCTCCCCAACATCCGGCTTCTCAGCCACACCAATTTGAATCATGGTATTTGAATACAATTTGTTGTAGTTGAAGTTGTAACCATTTCTTGCATATGAATGTAATATATATTATTTTTCTTCTTTGTCTTCTCTATAATTTCATGTAAATGTATTTTCAAATTTGCCCGTATATCAATATTAGATTTAATATACATTAGGTGAGGGACTAAAATGGTCACTATGCGAACAATTCAGGGACTAAATGAGGTCACCCTAATAATTAAAGGACCGAGTTTACCATTAGGCACAATTGAGGGTCTAAAAAGGCCATTTTCCCTTTTATAAAGATTTCAATGGACCTTCTCTCCCTTAAAGCTAGCAATACAAATATTTTACCCTTGAATATAATTGGTTAACATTGAGGTGATGGTAACTAGAGTGTACACAGATAAGAACAAAACCTTTTAGTATGAATGTATGATCCTTGCCATTATTTCCTGGCCAGTAACTGGTCTTCACTGTTTGCTCTCGGTATTGAAATCTTCGGTTTCTCTGGCCGCAGTGATTGGGTTAAAGGAAATGATAAAGGAAAAACCTTAGTTTAATGAAACAAAACAAAATTTTAAGTTTCAGACAGTTTTAAAGATACCAATTATCAAACTCTAATGCAAGTTCTGTATAATTTTTAAGGCCCTTAGCTCACTCAAAATTTATTCTACTTAAAAAAAAAAAATTAAAACTAAGCTTAACTTCTCTCTCTCTGCAGTCTGTGGTTTTATGGTGTGACTACTTAAATTATGTTCAAGAGCATGACCCATCAGTTAGTTCATGTTCTATAGATGGTATATCAAAGGCAAGAAATCTCTTTGAGCGTGCCCTTACTGCCGCTGGTTTGCATGTTGCTGAAGGTGGCCGGATATGGGAATTATACAGGGACTTTGAACAAGCCATTCTCATCACAATTGATGGAACTGATCACGAGGTGTGTCCGCTTGCCTTGATGTATTTTCATCATTGCCTCTTGTTTTTGACACAATTGTGATGAGAACCATACATGTCCTGCGCTTTTGCTACAACCTGTTTGAACTATAGCATGCCCTTGTTGATTCTTTGTTATTATTTTCTTAATCCATAGTATGCTGACCAATTCCATAATGCTTATTTCATCTTATGGCAGACAAGGGAGAAGCAGATCCAACGAATTAGAAATTTGTTTCATCGACAGCTGTCTGTTCCCCTTGCTGACCTGAAAACAACTCTTATTGCATACAAGGCTTGGGAAGTAGAACAGGGAGGTAATATTGATGTCAACTCCAGTGGCTTGGATGGACTTTCTCCACAGGTGGTATCTGCATATCAAAAAGCTCTAGAGATGTTGAATGCTCGACTTGACCTTGAGGATCTAATATCCAATAAGGATGCAACTGAGACAGATAGACTTCAACAGTTCATGGTCTGCACCATTTTTCTTTTGCTGCTTACCAATCTCATTTTGGGAATAAAGGAGTATTAAAGGCAATTTAGAAATTTTGATACTACTTGAGATCTTAATAATCTGGTTAAAACTCTTCTTTTTTGGTTCATCTTATTTTTAGGTACGTGGATTATTATGTGTGCATTAATTCCATCGTTAGTATGCCACGTTTACTATTACATGTATTGCTTTTGAACATATGATCTGAAAGTTGCTGTTTTTGTTTGTTATTGTCATGAATATGCAATTCATTGCATGTTACTGTTCAATTGCTCATCATTATTATGACTTTATCATTTCTTTTTTGTGTTGTTTTGCTTTGACATAGAGTGCCAAAGTGAAGGGTAGAACATGGCACTTTGAACCAATATAACATGCTGGACATGAAGTCAATACTTTGGATTTGGTTGCTATAATCTCATTATTATTATTATTATTTTATTATTATTATTATTATTATTATTATTATTATTATTATTATTATTATTATTATTATTATTATTATTATTAATGGTTTAGCTGTTTTTACATTTGAATGTGCAGCTAGCATTATTTTATTTAATTTAATATTGGCAGAGTATTTCTTCATTTCCCTACCAGATGAGCTTCATTTTCCATTCATTTCTACTTGATTTTCTAAACTAATGTGCCAAGTCTCATTAATCTCTAGTTTATAGACCTTAAAAACAAACTGAGATTGACATATTCTTCCTAAGGCATTTGCTTGAAAGTTTTTATGTTGAAAGATTCATATAACAACTATGTGGAATGATCACAATTTGCATTGAAGATCTGAACTTTACCTTATTTCTGTAGAACAGTGCTTGATTAATAATTGTTAACTCAAATTGTGACCCACAAGATTTTGAAATTACTCATTTAAAGTATTCATGTTTGACCTTTTGTTGCAGTCTTATTTAAAATTTGAGCAGTCATCTGGGGACCCAGCTAGGGTGCAGATATTGTATGAACGGGCTGTAGCCGACTTTCCAATTTCTAGTGATCTCTGGCTTGACTATACTCTCTACATGGGAAAAACCTTGAAGGTACCCTCTCTCCCCTCTCCCTTCACTTCCCTGTTTAATTATAATGGCTAAGGTTCAAAATGAGGACTTTTTTGTTTCAGACTTCCAGGATTGTGAGAGACATTCATCATAGGGCCACGCGGAACTGTCCCTGGTCTGCAGAATTGTGGACTCGTTACCTACTATGTCTTGAACGTAGTCGTGCTTCTGAGGATGAACTATCCACTGTATGCTCTAGTCTTGAAACTACACTGCTTTGCCTCACAGCTGTGACTTGTGTTCTCCATAATCTATATCTTGCTACACATAGTCAAAGCTATTAGACGTGTTTTACTCTTTTAAACTACTTGAATCTAAGCCTCTGTCTTGTTAAATATTTCAATGTGTTTCAAGTAGAAGAATAGCTGTTTGATGTTTGCCATTTGTTTTGTTTATATACCTCCTTGGAGTTCCTTCTCAAATTTAATTACCATGTTTATTCCTCAAATGATAATATATTATTATATCATAATCAGATCTTAATTTCATAGATTATGTGGTCATGTTTGTTCTCATTCTAGAATGTTGGACAAGTTATTTTTTGTTGTTTTTTTTTGTTTTTTTGTTTTTGTTTTTTTTGTTTTTTTGTTTTTTATTTTTTATTTTTTATTTTTGAAAGTCAAACTGGATTCATTAGCAAACCAAATCAGTGGCAATTGCATCCTGAATGAGGTTATATTATATTCTTTCTGAAAATCTCGAAATTTGTATTTCCATGAACTATGAATTGGTTTTAGTGACAATTTTGCACTTTGTTGAATGCACTCATTGTTTGTAATCTTGATGGCTAGAGTAATCTGTTTCTTATATTTTTCTTCTTTTTTTTTTTTGTTGTCCAGGTTTTTGAGAAGTCACTTCAATGCACCTTCTTAAGCATTGAAGAGGTAGATGCATTTCTCTCTTTGGTTGATTATTGTTTCACTACTACTGATGCTGTGGGTGGCCAAAATCATGAAAATTGATTTTGTTATGTTTCGCTGATCATATGTTATAGATTGTTACGAAAGTAAAGAGAGGATATCTAAATATGCTGTCGTATGCTGTCTTATACTGTCTCATTGAAAAGAGAATACAAAGCTCTATAAATAGGTGCTAGAAGACTACGAATAGGAAACAAGTTTCCATATGTCTACTTACCTAAATCCCTAAGAGTGCCTAATCTATAGAGATTCCATATATCAAATATATATTCCATAACATAGATTATATGAGTGTGATTGTGGAAAATGTAGGATATGGCATGGGAAGATGTGACAACCTTTTTTCTTCTGACCCTTCCCCCCACCCCAATGGGTTTGGTCACTCCTCAAAGAAATTAAATATATGCTGCATTCTTCTATTGCAAGGACTTTATATATCCATTGCAGCAAAGTGCACTAATTTGGGGTGGCCGATGGGGAGTTTGTATACTTTGTTTATACATTTTAAATCCTTGTGTTTCTCTTGAAAATGATGTTTTAACTTAATTACATGCTTGCATTAATAAGCCTCTGTCTTCCTAAAATTGATAACTGGTGTTCCTGTTGCAGTATCTAGAAGTTTTTCTCACAAGAGTTGATAGCTTAAGACGGAGAATGTCTTCATCTCAAGGAGTGGGGAGTGGCTTGGATTATGCAATGATACGGGACACCTTTCAGGTCTAATTGCCTTTTCTTTTATTCCCATGGATGGTGTTTTAGGTAGGATGCTTTTGAAAACTTATGCTTTTGTGTTGACGATGCATCAAAAAGAGCTAAATGAACATCATCCTTTACCCTTGGCCCAACAAGTGATTGGAATTGATCAGCTTTACTTACAAAGAAACGAAAATCAATCAACTTTCTTATTGTGTTCTATTATAAGGTTGGTGTGTATATTTTATTCCAGCGTGCATCAGACTATTTGTCCCCACATCTGAAGAATACAGAAAAGTTAATACGAATGTATAGTTACTGGGCCCATTTAGAGGCAAATCTGCGGAAAGATTTAATTGCTGCTCGTGGTGTTTGGGAAAGCTTACTTAAAATCTGGTAATATTATATTTCTTCTTGCCAGTTGAAATCTTTGCATTATTTTTATGTTTTGTCTTTAATGTTCTAACTACCACCTTGCTGTTTGTTGCAGTGGATCTATGCTAGAAGCCTGGCAAGGCTATATATCTATGGAGATCAAGATGGGTCACATAAATGAAGCCAGATCCCTGTACAAAAGATGTTATAGCAAAAAATTCCCAGGGACAGGCTCGGAGGTAAATCCCCACACAGCATAATGTGATAATATTTTATAAATGTCGTTAGTTTGTCATGCATTTTACATTTGTATTGAAGTCATTTCTGTGTCATGTTTTTATTTTTTTTATGGGAGTATGATATATTCCCTCTGCTTACTTATAATGTTCTGCTCATCTTTACATATTCCATAAATTATAATTAAATGTGGAAATTTGTGTGCATTAGTAATAAGTATTTTTTATTGATCCTTTGATTGCAGGAAATAATGAATTATGGAAATAAAACTCTAATTTCTCTAATTATTTTTACACTCTTAATGATATAAGTTTGTTACCTGATGAGTTGCTCATTAATCTGAATGTGTGGAAATAATAATCTGAAGCTGTAGGTATGCAGTGAAGTATTCCCTGGCATTGACCAAATGTCCAAGCTGATTAAACTGTGTTTCGTAAAAAAGAAATTGAGCACTTGAAAGTGATGTGCCTTATTATTGGAGTCCAGAAAACTTTTAAAACAATTCTAGTTCTGTTATTTACCATTTATCTTTTGTGCATTTCTGGTTATGAATAAGAGCATTCTATAACTCCCTTGGATTCTCTTTGAGATGTATATTGTAAATGCCTGTTTTATGCTGCTTCAGTGCAGTGACGGGGGGAAAATGAATTTGAATTGATAATGATGGCTATAAATTCTAGACCTTGAACTCTGAATCCATCTTAATTTTCTGTATTCTATGTATGTGTTTTGTGCATTTCATGCTATGGCTGTGTATATGAATTCACAGTTTTAGGTTTACTAGATAATGTTTTTGTTTTTGGATGAAATGAATGTGAATTTCATCTTGAATTAGATGATATCTTCTTCTTCTAAAAAACAGAATCATTCAGGACATATGCCATTCTTGGGTGCGCTTTGAGAGAGAATGTGGTTCCCTTGAAGACTTTGATCTTGCGGTACAAAAGGTAACAAGTATAATATCAGCTTTCTGTTATCTGATTGACATAATAAGTAGCACACATTATCTGTATCACCAAGTGGCATACATTATTCACTGCTTATTTCTTAGCATGTACACACAGATTTTCTTAAAGCTTGTTCCCATTCTGGCCGATGTTAAATTCAAAATCATTTTTGCTGTGCCTTTCTAAAAAACTCACTTTTGTCATAAGTCAAGGTCAAAATTTACGTTTCTTAGCAATTTTGAAAAAGTAACTGGCATTTACTTTTTCATTTGATAAATTGACATGTTGTCCAGACGGCTAAATGAAGATTGGTGAACTTGTTGAGCATATATAATATATAAACATAAATGTGCAGTCCAACTATTAGCTTAGGCTTTTAGTTGAGATAGAACACACCCTTTAATAGAGGTTTAATGATTTTACCTTCTTTTTCCTTCCATGTAAATGTTGGTATCATCAAGCCAACTTTGCTCTTTGGGGGGTGAAACAAACTTACTGGAACAAGATTTCTTATGGCTACTATGTGTCTTTAATTAAATCAGGTTACTCCTCGCCTAGAAGAACTACGACTTTTTAGGCTGCAGCAGGAGAGCAAAAATACTGGTTTATCTGCAGATCAGAGAGAGACTGCCATTGGGAGAGGAATTCATGAAAAGAGAAAACCACTTTCAGATGTAGCAGATGAACAGCCTGCAGCAAAACGTCGCAAAGAGAAAGCCAAGAATTCTAAGTCCACTGATGAAAAGGGAAAAACCCAAGCTACAGACTTGGTTGGTGCCGGTAAGATGGATGTGGTGGTAGAAGCAAGCAAACCATCAACTGCAAGCAAGAAAGAAAAGGAAGGTATTTCCACTGGAAAGCCAAAACAGTACAATGACCAGTGCACTGCATTTATCTCTAACCTTAGCTTCCAGGTGAGTTGCCTGCTTGTGTTGCTTTTTGAAGTTCTTCACTTGGTTGAGAACTAAGTGGTTAAAATTACTTGATCAGGCAAATTATGATGACCTACAGAAGTTATTCAGTGATGTTGGTGGAGTTGTTGCTATTCGAATATTAACAGACAAGTACACTGGAAAATCAAGAGTACCCTCTTCCTCTCTCACCTCCCCCCTCTCCCCTCTCTGTTTTTCAAGCGAGATCTTAAAACCCAACTCAACACTAAAAAAATGGAGAAAAGAAATTAAGAAAATACAGTTTGAGTTGGTTATGATACATTGCATGCATATGTTACTCATTTTGTATAGTGCACTCACAAGGAGAAACAATTGTTGCATGGTTACTGCAGGCAAACATGGGAAAATTTTCAAAATTTCATTTTATTGCAATTTACTCTGGACTAGCTAAAGTTGTACTGTTAACTTTGGATTATGAAGAATAAACATGTGATAATTATATGGAATGCTCTTCATTTCTCAGAGCCTTTTGGCTCTTCATTGTTAGACTTCTGAGCTATCTAATAAATAATAATACTAGGTTCCTGTATTCATCCTATTAAGGAATTAAGCATTCTATCTAATTTATCATCTACTTCTTGCTTATAAGTTAAAACATAGCTTCTGCATTTCCGGGATTAAAAGTTGACAACATAGCCACATTTCAATCCTGGAACCTGCGGGTTATGGACCTCCACACTTCTGCTATGCCACTTTGATCTACTTTATCCTCTGCTCATCTTAGCTTGCCTAAATGAATAGCCAAAATTCTCAATGAAATATGAAGAGTCTTCTATATAACCATCACTTGTTTATTCTTCATATGGAAAATAATCTTGCATGAAGTTCTCTAGGGGTGATTTGGGCTAGTGAATGGCACTGTTTGTTAGTCCAGATTGAGCAATTAGGAAACCAGTGTGCCTTGCTAGCTATGAGTTGTACAAATCTTCTGAGTACTTCCTTTATTGTGCATTTCATGTCTTTGTGACGTCTGTACCATTATGTGTGTTTGTGTATTAATCAGAGGCTTTGCATTTCATAGTTCCTAATTGTTCTTTGTCCAAACTTTTAAAGGGATTGGCCTATGTGGATTTTTGCGATGATGCACACCTTGCTGCAGCTTTGGCAAAGAATAGGCAAAAGCTGCATGGAAAAAAACTGAGCATTCTGAGGTCAGATCCTCAGCAGAACAAAAAGAGGGGAAACCTTGGGAAAGGAATGCCAACAAAACATGGTGCGCTGACAGCTGACCCCAGTTTTAATTACTCCATATGTATCTGCATATTATTCATTGATGTATTTTATGTATATATATCATTGATTTAATGTTTTTGACTTTTACTTAGCAATGATGTGTCTAAAGCTCAGGCTAGAAAATTTTACATTAACTTGAGAAGATATATATAAAATTAATGACAGACCTTCATTTTCTTTGTTTATACGCTTGTGGCAGCAGATTCTGGTGGTCAAGGTTCAAAATCAGACTCCAAGGACAGTGGTGAAGTTTCAAGACAGAGTGGAGGTGGGCCTAAAAGAGATCAGTCAGCTGATAGGCAGAAAGATGATATACAGCTGAAGGGTAGGAACATTTTTGCAATGCCAAGAGCTGTCAGCAAAAGTAAACCAAAACTGGAGAAGATAGCTGAGGAAGGAGAAGACGAGAACCCTAAATCAAATGACGAGTTCCGCAAAATGTTCCTGAAATCTTGAAATATGCCATGTGGGAAAAGGTTTGTACATTATACCCGAACCCTGTTAGTGGAGTATGAACAGAAGCAAATGCTTTAGGAAACTGACTTCTACTTGGTTTTAGTGGAGGCATTGTGTTTCTTCTTGGTTTTAGTGGAGGCATTGTGTTTCTTCTAAATCATATATCACGCCTTGTTTTCAAGCATCTTATGCTAATGCATTGGATTATTATGCTACTTTAACTGTGTTATTTTAGTATAATCTCCTTGCATATTCCAGTGGCTCTATCTTAATATGTAAGTATTTGCAAATGCATATATCTGTTGCTTACATTCCAGTCTTCTTTCTGTACTTGAGTATATGCAGATTCATATATTTCATTATTATCAAGGTCAATGGGGAATAATAATAATAATAATAATAATAATAGGGGAAAATGAAAATTTTGATCTTTCTAAATAGTCAACTCTGTCACTCGATTATATGGCGGGGGATCACCTTTGGTCTTGGAACTTGTAAGTTGTGTGTTAGGCAGGATTTATTTCAAGATGATATAAATGTTAATTTTGACTTGTAACTGTTTAAAGCTCCTAACTTTTGTAAAATTGTAAATTTTTCTCTGGGTTGCAAAAATGATCGTGTTGGGGAGTATGGTGCAAATTTGTAAAAATAATTTTATTTTAATAATAATTTGTGGCAATTGATAACTGAAGAAGGTGGTAGCGAGTAAATTAATGTAGAGTGGGAGTGGGACAGAGTTGGATAATATTGTGGTGTCCAGAGGCAGAGGAATGAGAAATGTGGTGAGATTATGCATACACAGATTGCACTAGCAACTGAACTTACGTCTAATCTGTTTGTTGGGTTGAAATGAGAGTGAGTTTTCTTACACGCCACATTAAATCTGACACATGCTAGTACACATGCACTGTATGTATTGCAAAATTGCATGAAGAAACCCAGGCCGGCCGTTTAGGAAAATAAATAAATACTCCGTAGCAACATGAGAGAGAGAGAATCGATGTCCAGTTGACCAAATGTGAGTGATTTTCAGTGCTGTCCGATCCTGCACCGCACCTCTTTTGTCTACTCTGCATTTCAGATTTCTTCAAGATACACTTTGGTCAATATCAATCCACCAAAATATTACGGACTATATATTATTTTATACCTACATTTTTTATTTTACTATCAAAACCTATTTCTCAAGCATATTCTTTTCTATAAATTATTTGTATCATAACTTGTTTGAAATAACATGCATGCATATTTGAGTTGATGTCATATATATATATATATATATAGGATCAGATGTGGTAATAGGTTGCAGGTAAAAGATGGGATTTAATCTCAACCCTTGATCTAGCCAAAATCAACAGCCCAGATTAAAGAAAACTTAAAAAAAAAACTCGGTGGCATTATGATAATTTTGCTTAAGTTCAAAACTTAAGATGCATAGTTTTATAACTTAAGGTGCGTAGTTTTATAGCTTAAGGTGCGCATGTTTAATGTTTAAAGTGCATCACTTTCTAGATGAGGTGCTTCAGTATAAAACTTAAGGTGCTTAAGTTTTAAGGTTAAGGCCAGTGTGTTGTTTTAAAGCTTAAGGTGCGTATGTTTAAAGTTTAAGGTGTGTATGTTTAAAGTTTAAGGTGCGTCACTTTTATAGTTTAAGGTGCATCAGTTTAAAACTTAAGGTACATTGTCTTATAACTTAAGGTGCGTTACTTTTCTAGTTTAAGGTGCATCAATTTAAACTTAAGGTGCATCAGTTTGAGACAGTTGATCATTTGCACGCATGTTGGCAGGAAGGTGTTTTTAATTTTTTTTTTATTTGAGCCGTTGATCTAGATTAGATCAACGGCTTAGATCTCATCTTATCTTTCACCCGGGAGACTCTTCGCACGTGAACTAATCCCTATATATATATATATATATATATATATATATATATATATATATATATATATATATATATATATATATATATATATATATATATATATATATATATATGTAATTAGAAGTTAATTTAAAAGATGGAGGGCGGGTAAGAAAATGAAAGAAAAGAAAGATAGATAGTGGGATTGTGGGTGTTGGTGTGCAGAGTTGAGATTGCATGCGGGTAAAAGCTAGCAATGAAGGAAGCAAATTAAACTAGGCATGCAAGGATGTGTAAATATGGATTGAGAGTGTTCACTTACTTTGAAGAATGAAAACAATGTATGATACACTCTCATCTCACCATTCTTTCTTTTTTACTCTCCTTGGATCACTCAACTATATAATGTTGTCCTCTCCATTTCGATCTCCTTATTCTATCTTTTTTTTTTTTTTTTTTTTTTTTTTTTCCAGCTTTTCATTCCCCTCTTTTACTCTTAACTCTCTTCTCAATTATTACTCCATCCGTCCGTGTCTGATTCGGTTAACGAGGTTTGACTAAAGTTATTTTTAATATATTTTTTCACAATATTAAGCTTAGTATTCCGTATTAATATACAAAATTTATATATTTAGAAACTACACTAAAAGTACTGTTAAACACAAAAAATCAAATTTAAAAATAAGAAAAAAATACTAAAGAAAATAAACAAAATACGACTACGGTGATTATTTATATATTTTTTTCCCCTTGAGATTGGGGATTCAATCTTTAGGGAGAAGATTTATGCGTAGTAGATTGGATAAGGTTAAATAGCATCTATACTTATGTCAATCGTTATACCATGAACAATGGTTTACACTGCACTATGGAGGGTTTGTGTTTTGTGTTATGACTTTTTGTGTCTTACGTTATGAAATTCTGTACCTTATGAGTATGGATTCTGTACCTGAAACAAATGAGTAACTGTGTCTCATGCATGTTATGAATTTGTGTCTTGTGTTTGTGAAATTTGGTGCCTATAAACACAAATTATGTACTTAATCAAATTTGAAAAATAAGTAAATATATAGCATGTGTATGTGTCTTGTGTTATGAAATTCTGTACCTTACGAGTATGAATTCTATAACTCGTCTTTTCAATCCAGCTGGGTCCATAATGCTATGCTATGTGTCTTGTGTTGTGTTATGAAATTATATACCTTACAAGTATAAATTTTGTATCTCGTTGTTTCAATATATCCATGATTCATAATGTTATATGGACCCTGATTCATGATATAAATTGCCTAATTATGTTATAATATTATTATGATTTTTGTTTCATGGCCCGGCCCGTTACACTTCGTTATAAAATTATTTCATAAATTTCATCTTTTAATGTCTCATTTCGATTTTAGAATGGAAAATCGGAAAATTATATCGTGCACTAGAGCGCTAAATGTATTGTGTGTCTTGACCTCAAAACGACATCGTTTTCATAAGTTGGGGGAGTTGAAGCGACGGATACCATTCTGTTTGTCTAATCTCGTTACAATTTTATTTTTTTGTATTTATGTATATTATGTTAAGAGTTTATGTGTATTATGTTTAGAGTTTATCTGATGCATGATATAACAATTGTGGAAAATTAATATATTTTTAATTTCTTATTCTCCCAATTAATATATTTTTAATTTCTCAATGTACTGTACAACACTGAAAAAAAAAAGCTAATAATTGTGGTTAATTTCCTTCTTCAACCCGGGACCGCCTTATCTTTATTTGTGTAAGTCAATGCATGATGTAGCTTTATAAATTAAAGATATATTCTGCTCAGAGTAACAAGGGAAACACAAAAAGTTATATTAACATATTCTCTTTTCTCCATCTTTCCCTTTCATTTACTTGCCTTCCTGGTTTCCCCCCTTTGCAATATAATTTTTTTTTTTTTTTTTTGAATATAGTATTTGTTCTATACTTTCTCAATTCTTTTTTACCCAAAAAATCAATACCTTTATCACTAAAGTTCGATTTTATGACCACCCATTTAGAATTGTAACAAATATGTCATCACACTACATAATAGTTGATATGATGAGAATATAATTGTGTTGTATTCAATGATAATGTCTGAGAGTACATGGATCGAATATATAGAGATGCTAGATAGAATCCTAGTCTAACACGAATAATATAGTCCTAGTCTAATATGAATAATATAGTTCTAATACCCATCCTCAAGCACAATGTTGGCTAGTCAAAACATTGAGCTTGTCACGGAGAGAGTTAAAACGAAGAGACGACAGAGACTTTGTGAAAATATCCGCTAGTTGACCCTTGGTTGAAATAAAGTGCACTTCTAACTCCTTTTTGGCTACTTTATCGCGAACAAAATGATAGTCAATCTCAATGTGCTTTGTGCGGGCATGAAACACTGGATTGACACATAAATAAGTAGCTCCAAAATTATCACACCATAGTCGAGGAGGAGACGCAGGCGGGATGCCGACTTCATGTAACAGAGAAACGAGCCATGTAACTTCTGCAGATACATCAGCGAGTCCCTTGTATTCTGCTTCAGTCGAAGAACGTGCCACAGTCCGTTGCTTCCGACAAACCCAAGATATAAGATTACTGCCCAAGAACACAGTAAAGCCACTAGTAGATTTGCGGTCATTCGGATCGCCAGCCCAATCTGAGTCAGAATAGGCATGAATATCCATAGATGTAGACCGAGAAATACGCAGGCCAAGATTCAGGGTGCCTTTGACATACCGCAGGACTCTCTTTAGAGAGGCCCAGTCTGTAGTAGTGGGAGCATACATATGTTGACACAATAGATTAACAGCATAAGATAGATCCAGACGAGTTACCGTAAGATACTGGAGAGCACCAGCAAGACTCCTGTATTGTGTTGGATCGACATAGGGAACAACCACGCCGTCTGTGATTTTCGCAGAAGAGACAGGCGTGATTACTGGCTTGCAGTCCACCATGCCAGCACGTTTGAGAATATCCTTCATGTACCGTTGTTGGGATAAAAGCATACCGCCAGATAACGGGACAGTTTCTATTCCCAAGAAGAAAGAAGGCACACCCATATCGCGAACATTAAATTCAAGTGCTAATTTATCATTAAGAGCAGTAACACGATCTGAGTCAGAACCCATAATTAAAATGTCATCAACATACACCAAGAAATAAAGACGAATATTGTCACGAGAATAGATAAAAAGAGACACATCCGTCTTAGAAGGCGAGAAGCCCACAGAGACAAGAAAATTATGTAGCCTTGTGAACCATGTACGTGGAGCCTGTTTGAGACCGTATAGAGATTTTTTAAGCAAACATACATGATTAGGTAACGACTTATCCTCATAACCAGGTGGTTGTCGCATGTAAACAGTTT